AGTTTATGGACTTTATTTAAATTTATAACCAATTTACTTTTATTTAGTTTACCTACAATAGTTTAATAAGTAAGTATTTATTATTTTATCAACAAAAATAAAGAAGTAGTTCTTTTTTATTTATATTACGATGACTTGTAGATATATTGGATTTTCAATAAAAGAACCAATTAAGGCAAATTCATTTTCTTCACTTCCAACGACAGGTTTCTGCCTAATATTCATATACCACACTACCAGCTCTGCGAAATAGGAAAAGTGGTTTTTCAAAGTAACGCTTGTCAAAAAAATGCCTATTTGGATATCTTTGAGCATAAACAAACCCTTCAGGCTAACAAGCAATTGTCCTCACAAAATAAAATCACTAGTAACATATCCATTTCTTGCGTTAGCAGATACTGCTTCATTTTCCTTAATAAAATAATAAAAAATACTTATTTAATAACCTTATTGTAGATAAATTAAAAAAAATAACCTGTAATAAATTTAAATAAAGTCCATAAACTAATGTCGATTTTGAAAATAGCTACTAAGTGTCACTAGAAAATTGCCATGGCGACACCAGCCAACTTGATTACAATTTTATTGAAAAATCTGCTTCGACTTATTTAAAAAAATACAGAGTATTGCATTTGAAATAACGAAGTTTTTATGTAAAATAAATATTTAAAATAGACCAACAATTTTTGATACCCCTGTATACATTTAAGGAAGCAATCAAGTTTATTAGTAAAATTTATTTCTCTGGCTTGAAAGTCAGCACAAGAATTAATTCTGAAAAGTAATGTACGAGGTGTTGACAAACTTTTTTAAGCATATTTAAATATCTTTAAATATCTCAAAAACCAAAGCTTTTAAATATATTAAACCCTTATAATAAACGCTTTATTTTATGCCCAAGAATCCAAAAATGAAATAAAATACTGGGTGTTCCGTAAGAAAAAACATAACTTTGGTATAGATCTTAGTTCCGACACACCCTGTACATTTCAAAATAATTTTAAATTATGCACATTGCCTTCCCACATGTACCCATAAAATATTTTGTTTCTACATTTTCCGTTTTCGTATAATCAACCGAAGGGTGCGAATGAGGTGCTACAACTAATATTAATTTGCTACAACAAATGAAGTATGTTTTTTACTATAATAACATATTTTATTATACAGGGTGTCAAAAAAATTGTGTATGTAACTTCGGTGGGTGAATCTACAGATAAAAATAAAACAAAAAGTTCGAAAACAAAAATTGGAATTAAACTTTAAAAAATACATAAATTAACAACAGTGTAGTTAGACTGTTAAAATAAGTTTCATATAAAAGAAGAACAAGTAGAAATGAAAAGCATTACCTTCCATTCTCTGCGTTTACAGAAAATGCCATTTTCAGTATTGCAGTCGTTTTCAAGGGTTAATTTACAGCAATCGAGCTTTCTCTATCTGAATATGCAGTATGCAGTATCATACTTAAGTAAGAACCTATACACTTTTATGGAAATGAAAACGTATACGCTTTCTCTATTCTTATTTTAAATGTATTGTTCTTTATGAAACGGTTTCAATTATTAATATGGACTAGAACTTTTTAAATGCGACTTGTTTTTTTTGCAAACTGTTTTCAATAAAAAATCAATTTTAAAAATTTATTTTGTGTACCTAACCTAGGTCCACATAGTCTTAAATGAGCAATTGGTTAGTTTTCTTACATTTAAAAAATATTACATTTTTTTATAATTTCTCTAAAAATATAATTTAATTTCAGGTGGAGGCAGAAGGGCAACGCGCATCACCATCTGCACAGCTGTTGGCATATGGGTGTTAGCATTTATCTGCGCTATACCTGCATTAATCGGATCGCACATCAAAGAGATCAGAGATGACGATGACGTGCTGCGCTTTGAAGTGTGTTATCCTTTTCCCGAAGAATGGCTCGACTATCAGTATCCCAAAGTGATGGTCATGGCCAGATTCCTGGTGCTCTATATTATACCACTGACCATCATTTTTGGGTTCTACCTAAGCATGGCCATTTCCTTAATTACCAGTACTAGAAACGTACCTGGCGAACTGCAAGGAATGCACAGACAGGTAAATATACTATTTTATTATAATTTGTTTGTATATCATTGGCATTTATTTTTCATTAAAATTAAATTTAATAGCAAATGTACTAACTGAGACTATTAATGCAATGAAAATATATTTTTATCCCTCTAAAGTAGTTTTTCGAATTGGGGATTCGTAGAATTTCCACAAATATGGTGTTTTGGGTTAAAATTTCCCTTTTTATTATATATGAAAGCATTCCTAGATCTCGAAATTTGCCACGAATCAGGAAATTTCTCACGAGTTGGCATCATTGCTTTCTGGTTAACAGTCTTTTTAAATCGACCAGCTACACCATACGTTTTTGATATTTTATAAATAATTAAACGATACTCAAAATTGTGATACTGAATTGATTAAAAGTTACTTTACTAATTAAGTTTTAATTTCTAACTTTGTTTTGAACGCTGGGAAGAAAATATGCCGTGATTATATACAGGGTGGTCGAACTGTATTCCGAAACTTCGGCAGCATATTCTGCAGATAAGAAAATAAGTCAAAAAGTTCGTAGGCAATTGTATGTCCTAAAATTTAGTTTCGAGATACAAGGTGCTAGAAATTTCATTTTATTTCGGATTTTTCAAACAATTTCTGAAGTAACGTCAATAGTTAGATGAAAATTAGTGTCTGGGAGTTTGATATGAGAAATTCTGATTTTGATATCAATATGACGCCTACTCGCAGAGGGCGCCACCTACATGTTTCACTGTTTTAAAGCGTAATAACTTGTTGTCCGTACCTGTATAAAACTACCAAGGCAAAAAATATACATCTCTGTGATTTTTTTCGTAAAAAATATCTCTTTTTAAAAATCGCTACGAGCAACCGTTCTCAAGATATTTAGAATGGAAAGAGTCAATACATGTCATTATTGACGAAAAATAAACAATTTGAGTAGATACCTAGTTATTTTACTGAAATAATAAATTTGGGAAATTTTTATTTTTTTAAATTAATCATAAATTTTTCTGCAAAAAAATGATGATAAAATAGTTTCTGTTGAACTTTTGGCACAAAAACATTTCAAATTTATGATCTCAGTCTAATAACTATTTAGTCAACCTGTTTAATTTATGTCAATGATGACAGGTATTGATAATTTCGATTCCCAAATATCTCGAGAACCATTACTCGTAGCGATTTTTTACTAAGGACCTTTTTACGTAAAAACTTCGTGAATGTATATTTTTACGCAGTAGTTTTATACGGTACGGACGAAAAGTTATTACTATTCAAACCAGTTAAAAAATATGTATGTGGCGCCCTCTACTAGTAGGATTCATATTGACATCAAAATCAAATTTCAGGTGTCAAAACCTCCCAGACACAAATTTTCATCCAAATGTTGACGTTACTTCGAAATGATTTGGAAAAATCGAAATAAAATGAAACTTTCACCCTGTATCTCCGAAACTAAGCATTTTTAGGACATATATTGCAGAATATGCTGCCGAAGTTTCCGGAATGTTTGGACCACCCAGTATATTATATATGAAAGCATTCCTTTTCCATATTGAACACTATAGTTGTTCTGAAAAATATTTTACATTAAAAAATATATCGAATTTACATATAACAAAGTTAAAACTAGCAAAAGTGCTACAATTTTTCTATCGATAATTTGTTGTAGCATTAGTAAAAATTAATAATTATAAATTCCTCTAACACTCGAACTATTTCAGTCATTATTGACTGCTCCGTACAATTAGTTATTATAAATATGCTACAACAATTACAAGTTAGTATACAGGGTGACAATTTGAAAACGAACAGTATTTAATATTACCTCTACCGATAATAGTATGAAAATTTGGCGAAATACGTGAATTTACATATCAGGGGGGACAATTTTTGAGGCATTTGTTGTCGTGTTACTTTCAACCCTTTGTCCCTCATGGCACCTACCCCTAAAATATTAAATGGCAACCCCTATTTCTTTTACCATTTTTGTATTCCTTATAAAATTCTACATAAACTGCATTATTATTTTGTCAAAATTGTGTTACTTAACCTCACAAATGAATGAAATGTATTTAATATCCAATTTTAAAACGGATTGCATTCACCGCCTCATAGAACTTCATTTAAAAATGTTTGTACCTACCAGTAACACGACAACAAATGCCTCAAAAATTGTCCCCCTTGATATGTAAATTAACGTGTTTCTCGCCAAATTTTCATACTATCATCGGTAGAGGCAATATTCGTTTTCAAATGGTCACGAACACTATATATACTAAATTAATTTAAATAAGACAGTAATATTTTAAAATTTAATTACAAAACATTGTTTTTTTAGATCAGAGCCAGAAAAAAAGTAGCAGTCACTGTCCTAGTCTTCGTAGCAGTATTTGCAATATGTTTTGCACCATTCCACGCTTTCATGCTATTCTTCTACTTCAACGACCAGTCTCAAGAGCTCTACAGTCCCTTCTGGCACTATTTCAGAATTTTTGGATTCTGTTTGTGCTACATCAACTCCTGCGCCAATCCAGTGGCTCTCTACTTCGTTAGCGGAGCTTTTCGAAAGCATTTTAACAGGTATTTTAATTATAAATTCATGTTGATTCGGTGTAACCATCTAAGCGACTCAAAAAGTTTTATTTATCTTTAGTAAGGGCTTATCTAACTTAGTCTCTTTGAGTTTCAAATATGATGTGTAATTTAAATATACTTCAGTGGCATTTTAAAAGAGCTGTATAAAATATTAGTACGTTATATGGGTCATGCAGTTCAAGCAGAAAATGTTTTAATAAAAATATGCATATGTATAATGTACAAGTTAAAGTAGATTAAAGTTTATTTAAAAAAAATCTGCTTAAATATCATTTTATATAATTTATGTATTTCTTGCAACAAAATTATATTATTTAAGAAATATAATTTATCATAAAAACAATTAAAAAGGGCGAGACAAAGATAAAATATTTCTAATAAATTCCAAATTATAATTTATTATAGAATTTCAATTTCGGCATAATTACCGAAATATTAATTAAATTCTTTACACCTAATGGCGGCAGGACGAATATTAAACA